AGTTAAGTGATTAAAAAACCTCTTTATGTCCAATCCCTAATGGAGTACTGGAGCATTGATTGGCAGGTTGGCATCATTAATCCAGCCTCCCACATACCCAAAGGTTGCTTTGGAGGCATGTCAAAAATAAGCTTCTGAAATAGGATAACCTTTGTAAACATGTCCAGTTTATAAAGAGATTTTTAGATGAATAATTCAGATAATATTGAGCCTTTTTCTGAAACAAAAAAATCAGCTGGATCCAATGTGAAGCAAATTACTTATGTATGGAAAAGCACCTCAGGTGTTTTTATTAAGTATGATGGACCATCGATTTCAAATGCCTGTGGAACTTTAAAATGCCCCATGAATATTGAGATGTTGATAAAACACCTGTGGGATAAACTGAAAGATAAGAACATAATGAGAAGCATCACCATACCCAACTACACATCTCAAATTACTGCATAAGGATAGGTGAAAGAGTTCACTACCTTCTAATTTACAACCCTGCATCCAGACCTTTATTCAACACATACACCTGCAGCAGCTTTCTTCATTAAAACATTTCACTAACACATACCTCAGTGATTATTTTTGTATGTGATATGAATGTGAATGACATAATAAGATCATTCTCACTGGAGGTAAGCACAAAAACAAAATGTATGTGAACACGCTCCAGCAGTTCAGTTCCTAATTTTTTTCGTATTAGTTTTGAACTTTTGCAGGTATACATAGTTGGTTAAAAATGATAGTATGTAGAAGTTTCCTCAATTTCTTTAATAGTCAAATCAAAAGTGTAAATTAAACATTTTTAACAACCAGAGTGGCATTAAAAATTTATTATTATTTTTGCATTTCTTTCATGGAGAATGAAAATACTATTTTTCATGATTTGTTACCGTTTCAAATGAGGACTTCAGTCGGTGTCAACACCGCAATTCAAAGAGTTTAATAGAACAATAGGAGCAATCTATTAAAACAAAATACTGATTAAAAGAAAAATGGGTCAAACTAGAAGATGCAGGCTTTACACTCAACTACAGAAACAGAAGAATTACAAAATTAAAACAAAGGCATGAGAAATCACTGATTTACTTTTAATCTTTAAATGTTCAATGCTGTAGGAAAAAAGTTCATATTTAGCTGATAGAAGTGTTCATAAACGAGAATGATAAACTTCACAAAGCACCAAACTCACTATTTGAATTTAAAAATATATATTTATATAGCAAATTATTTTGCACATTTAAAATGCAAAACTATATAAGGAGTTGTTTTGTATCCTGATTTTGTCTATGACAGACAGGAGAGCAGTCTATATCTTTGTTTGGAACTGATCCAAGCACATTTGTGTTGCAGTATATATCATCTTAATCTATGTTGCAGCCTGCTGTTTGGATCTCATCCCATGGCTGTGTCTTATACATACTTTATGTCGGAATATATATAGATATATATTTTTTGAGACTATTGGTCCTCTATGAATTTCTTAATAATCAGAAACTATGTACTGCAGGAAGTACACATATCTAAGTTATACAATCACATATTTGTAAGCAGATTGTTTTACCCTTTTACTTAAAATATAAAGTGTTTTGCTTGACCCTGTGTTTGTGTTCCCTGATGCCAATCAAAAGGCTGCTAATGTGTAAAGTGTTATTTCTAAATTATTTCTAAAGAATAAAAAGTTTTGGTCACACAGCAACCTAGTTAAATGAATGGCAATGGTATTGCAAACCCTTATTCTACTTGAGTATAAATCATTTAATCTAATTTCATATTGTTTTATCGGCAATGGTGGTCTTCTTCTGCAAAATGGTGCACTATTCTTCTCTCATAACATTCCTCTATAACTTGCACCTTTTTTAACTCTAAATTGTAACATATGCTTTATTTGTGTGTTTGTAGAACACTTTCATCAAAAGAGATTTCTCATAAATACTGTATGTAGTATGTCTTTGCAATAAATGTTCTTCCGATTCTGATTCTAATGTATTTCCAAGATAAACAAGTTCTTCAAATTAAATGGGAAATTCAACACATTCAGATATTATCTTTTTTATCAGACTGAATAAAGGCTATAATGGAGGATGTTCTTTTTCTGAGTGAATCATCAAAATAAGTGGTACTTCTTATTGTCAATCATTCTGGTGATATGTTTACATAAGGCCGTCCTACGTGCTCAGCCCTATTTTCACTTACCAGTTGTGAGTTTGACATAGTGAAAAAATTGTAAATCTTCTTTTGGAAAGTAAGCTTGTATGAGCGATGCAAATAGCATCTTTTGGGTTTGTGCATGCTCTCGCACACATTTACTAGGCATCCCCTCTTGCGGATACAGGGTTGTGCATGTGCATGTTTTTTAAAAAAGTGGAGAGGAAGGGTCTTTTCAAAAATTTGTGAAAATCCTCCACTATACCGTTAAGTCTGAAAAACCCTATCAGACGCCATAGATGCCTCAGCTTTGTTGTATTTCTCTTTTTTATTTTTAAGTTATAACTTCCATCTGTAGAAAAAAATCCATAAAATTTGAATTTAGTCTCCTTAGGTCTTGGATTGATATTTTTAGATGCTGTTTGTGATTTCCTTCTTTTCTTCATTATACTTTAGTTGTCTAAGTTAAGGAATGCTGGAGCAAAAAGCCAATAACCTGAATGTTCAGTTATGGATGTTATATGTGTTATTTTCTTGCATTTATCCTGCTATGAAATAGGCAAGAATGTGAGAAAAAGTGTTTTTTCCAAAAAACGACTTAACATTATACTTAACAATATACTTTGCAATAGATTTAAACTAGCTATTCAGCTTGACTCAATAATTCCAGTATCACTGTGTAAAACAAGTAAACCATATGAGTGAATACAGTATAACGATCATTAGAAAGTGAGGAAGATGTGTTGATTAAAGGCAGTAATCTGTCAGTGTTAACTGATGTGAGGAGCTTCTCTAAGATTACAGATACTTCTAACTAGCAAATATGAAGTCTTTGTTCCCACACATAATGAGCAAATCATAGGAGCATTTAGCCTCTGACTTCAGTTACAGCTTTTCTTTAGGAACGCTGTCAGTGAATCCGTCACTCTGCGCCATCCTTTCTCCTCTCAACCTGTGTTTAAGGCATGAGGAAAATTCACCCACACTACTTCTTCTAAGCCAATTGTTGTCAAGTATGCCTCCATCTTACTTCCACTTAACGAATTGGCATCACCTATGCTTGTCTCAACCCCCTGCTCATCCCTGCAGTAAAAATCTTCCAGCAGCAAAGATAAAAAGTTGTATGGATTGATCAAGTTGTAGTATCATCCTGCATTACAAGTATCGTAAAATATGCACCAGTGTGTTAGAAGTAATTCGATTTTTTTGAGGAAAAACTAACCCTGTTACTAATTTCGTTATTATGTAACAACATCAATCCCAGCACTGATTGCCAGCCTAATTCTTTATTAAATAGATCAGATTGCCATTCAAAGCCACTTAAAGGTGAAAGACTCTTTGGTAACCCAGGCAGAGCGCCTGCCTTATGTAGTAACAGGTAAAAGTTTTCTCAGAAGTCCTAGAACTTTGGTCACAAGACAGACAACTTTTATATGAAACCATGGTTATTAAATTAGAGTCAGGTATAATGTTTGGGAAACAGATCCCTACTAGCTGTAATGATCTTGGCACCTTTAGGCTGTTTTTCCCCCCTTGTTGCTCTCCTCTGCTTTGCTCCGCCCTCTGCTCATTAGCTTCATATAACAGGGGTTCTTTATTTTAATTTCTGCATTCACAGGGAATGCTGTCTAGCATTCTCTGTGATTAGTTCTGCTGTATCCTGAAGTGCTTCCTGAGCAGATTAGAACAGATCAGATAATTTTATCTGCTGTTCACATGACTGCGTCCCCAGGTTCACCACTAATCACATTGTGAAGTTTGCAGATGACACCACAGTGGTGGTCCTCATCAGAGACGACCAGGACTACAGAGAGGAGCGCATGTACTTCCTGAGCAGGATCAGGAGAGCCCACCTGCCCCCTCCCATCCTCACAACCTTCTTCAGAAGCACAATAGAGAGCTTTCTGACCAGCTGTCTCACTGTGTGGTGTGGAGGCTGCAATGCTGCAGACTGGAAGAAAGTGAGAAGAGTGGTGAGAACTGCAGACAAGATCCTTGGCGCTCTCTTTCCTCCATAAAAGACATTTCATCCCAGCGCTGCCTGTCAATGACCCCTCACTACCCCACCAACTGGGAAGAGGCTTCGCAGCATTCAATGCAGGTCCAGCAGTATCCAAAACAGCTTCTTCCTCATCGCCATCAGACAACTTAACTGTTGAGAAAATTCGAAATCATGCCACAGACTCTGCATCAAACTGACGACACCAAAACACTGCATATTTGCACCATGTTTTTTTCTCCCACACTGTTTACATTTGGTCACTGCTGCACTTTAAGAAATGGAAATGTCATCAAAGCTGTACAAAATGAAATTTTGTTTTGTATACACTCTGTGTATACAAAATCACGATAAAAGTTGTCTAAGTCTATGTCATCTTTTTCTGCCCTTGGACTTCTGAGTTTTCGACCGCCCCTGTTTGCTTTGTTCGCCTGTTCTGTGTTTTCTGGACTGCTACCTTGATTCTGCCTGCTGCTTACCTTGGATCTGTCTTCTGACCATGGCTTGGATTACACTACTGGATCTTTCAGCTCCTACACGTGCTCTGGCTGCTGAAGGATACTGCTCCTCTTTTCTTCTAGATCTCTGGTAAAAAGCAACAGTTTCACTTCTCTGGACAACACTCCTTCTTTTGGGCACAGACGGAATTTTGCCAGAATTTCCAGTTTCCCACCACAGCAGACAAGCAGATGCACACTATTTCAATAAACTCTCTTTTGAATATATCACTGTCTCTCTCCACTGAATTCTGGGTCCTATGTTCTGAGCCTTCTGACAGTAGTAGCTCTGTGGAGTGGACGGGAGGTTGGTTGGGGACTTGAACAATCTAGAGGAGGAATAATCAGTTTCTCTAACCTGCAGTGCAGAGAAGCTGGTGAGGAAGCAGCAGCTTTGGTGATGTCAGAGAGTGAGTGGAAGGCTGGGATCCAAGGGGAGCAGCTTGATCTTGTGGAAAGAGAAAGTGCAGAGGAACCTTTCAGCACTCCTCTTTAGTCTCTGCAGTGTTATACCAGAGACATCACAGATGTGGAAATATCTCACAGTCAAATTCGGAGTCAGAAGAAGCCAGATGTAGATATGCTTACCCTAGAATTCAAGCAAAGATACGTTGTCGGAAGTTGGAGAGGCGATCTGTTTCCAGATATCAGACAGGCAGTAGAGATCTGTAAAAGGTAAGGAGGGAATATTTAAATGGCATTTTAAGGTAGATTACAAAGAGACACATAAGGATGGGGAAAGAAGATTACATATGTATGGTTACATACTAAACAACTGCAAAACAGGATGTATGAACCTTTGGATAATTTTCTAATTTATGTTTACAATTTGTCAGTTCTGTTTCCCAGCAGCCTTGGCTGTCATAAGTTGGTGAGCGTCTGCTGACTATGGGTTAGGGTTGTGTTAATATCGAGAACTAAAGGTGAAAAAGAATTTTGTTTTCAAACATCTTTTTCTCTGGCCAAAGTTTAATATATCAATAAAAAGTACTTGTCTGAGTAACAACATCAGAAGCAGCTCTGCGATATGGCTCGGATTGCTCAGTGTACAGACCATTTGAGGTGTCAATTTAAAAAAGATATATATGCAGAAACTTAAGGTTGTTATAATGTCTCCTTGAGAACGCTGTTTAATGAACCTGTCCAGTATCAGTGTTTTGCTGTGTACAATGGTGTAACATTTCAGGCAGTTTATGTGTCATCTGGACCTTCCACAATTACTTATTGTAATAGTTTCATATCCTTTGCGTTACGCTACCCGATGTCTTTGTGGAAAAAGTTGGTTTGTAAATCTATCATCAAGTTGTCTGTTGTGTTTTTATCTATGTCTATGTGGACATTGAATATGGAACATAAGCAAAAGTGTGTGAAGGTATATTCCTGCATACATATTTGTCATAGGTTCTTTAAAATATGCACCCAATCACATAGTAATTACAAAACAGAGATAATGTGTTTAACGAAAAAAAAAAGAAAAAACACTGGTTGACACCATACAGATCAAATAATTCTGAACCATATAAAGAGATAAATGCAAATTAGAACTAGCACTTAGAAAATACTCAATAGGAGAGACTGCTACATACATTTTATAGCCTCTTCAACATCAGAAAGTGCAATATATTTGACTGGAAAAGAAACAGTTATGGTGAGAGAAAATGGAAAAAATAATAATGAAAAATGGCAATGATCTATTCTTCAAATGTAGTTTTTCATAGAAAAATAGAATCCATGGTTTATGCTGCTTTTAGGGTTTAGATAAAGATAAAAAAAATTATCAAATTAGCAATCATTCCTTAAGTCAATATACAAGATTTATGGATATATTTAGAGGGAGAAATGACTCATTATGGCCGAGCTTACACAAGAGTATCTTGCGAGTCAACATTAATGTAATCTGTGTTTTTTTTTTTGTTTTCCTGTGGCAATGGTCAGTTCAGCAGTTCACAGTGAGAAGAGGAACAACACCACCATTGTTTGCATTGTGTTTATTCCCTTTTGATGACATCCTCGTGCAGGGCGGCTGGCCAAATGCTTAATTTGTTGTGTGTTCTGTGAGGTTAGAACAAAGCCCTGATCTGAATTGTTCATTTTTTACCATTTAACCAGATGACAGGACCCCTGGCCCTGCCTGGAGTTCCTTTTCCATTCACTCAGTTCATATTTTTTTCTTTTTTAAGTTTTTGTTTTCATTAACTTTAAGCCCCCAATGTCAACCCCTATTTGGAACTAATACATAAATAAAAACCTGAATCAAGTATATACCTGTGCTGTTTTATTTATTCATGTATTTATTTTTTGTTTATTTATGCATGTTTTTATAAATTATCATCTATATTATATGTCAATGTAACAAATGCACCATTTTTTTTTTTTTATGGCGCTGCAACAGTGAAGTAAATAGCTGACCGCATACTGTAGGTTACTGTAAATGAGTTAAGTAACTGTGTCTATAATCTTGCAATCTTAACATGCAATCTTGTGGGCAGTTCTTCGATTTATTCCTTTAGTTTGAGCTATTATTTAAAATACAGCTGTGTGGGTATCAGGTGTGAGATGAGACAGCCTCTTTCAGATTTGTTCAGGAGCTCAATAACTCAAAATGCAGACTTATAATTAATCTATCACTTTATTTGTTGAGGTTTATCTTAATGGTTTAAAAGCAAAAGATCAAATAAAAATTTTTTTAACTAATCTCCACTAATAGCCCTCCCAATGTTAATTGACTGTGTGTAAATGGGTGAATGACTGAACGCAGTGTAAAGCGCTTTAGAGTTCCCTGACTTTCAAAGGGGCTGTAAGTGCAGGCTGTTGACTGTTCTGAATGACCTCAGGGAAGATTAATTACTTTTCACTTTGCCTTCAGTAGAAAACAAATCTGATTGGCTGAAAACTATTTTTTTTTTTTTTTTTTGCAGCCATCTCAGAACACATCATTGACTAGACCGGATTTCTACCTTAGATAGAAATGCTTAACATCATAATTTTTTTTTCTTTTTTATGTGTGGACCAAACAGATATATCTTAAAGCTGTATTAAGTGTGACACAAAGGTGTTTTTAATAAAACAGACAGAAACATGTTTAGTTGATGTCAAACAGGGCTTCACTGTACTTTTGACTGAATTTAAATCTATTTGTGTATCTTTATTTCCTTACAGATGTATTTTAAAAGATAAGGTTCCAACAGGCTTGAGTTTTTAGCCTAGAGGTAAAAGGAAGGCCAGCTGTTTCCATAATGAATTATTTAAGATAAGATTCAGATTAATTAATAAAACTCGAAACTTGAGAGCAATAATTTAAAAGGAAACAAGATGTTTAAATGGTTTACCTTTCAAAATGTTTGAGGGAATTACAGCTGCTCTGATCCAAAGAGTAACAATGATTTCCTACTTGATTAAGAGTTAAGGTTTGTAAAGTTATGTTTAAAGAGTGGATAGAAGGGTGAACAGGAAGAATGGGCTTCCAATAACCTTATCTTTGTTGTGATAGCATGAGTGTTTTGAAGAGGAAATCTATGTGTTAGGTGTATCTGCAGCTGAATGGGCCCAGCATATTTAATGCTACAATAAAGTGCATTTCTTTTGCATTCACCCGATGACCTTAGACAATTCTAATGGCTTTCAGAATGCCTTTGTTCAATACGTCATAACTTTTTTCATAACATTTATTTTATCCTTGGCTTATTTAAATGTGTAAAATGAAATAATGTAACAAATCATTCAGCGGCCATGAACATGGTGACACAGATGGTTTGTATTTTAAATGGATAATAGGGAGATACTTTAAAATCCATCCTGTGGCTGCAGTGCAAACGAGAGCAGAGGAGACATTGACACAAGATGAGAGAAAGAATGTTTCTTAGAGGCCATTCTGCTTTCAGGGTCATTTACTTTCATTCCATAACTAGTTTTCTTTCATGAGCAGGAGTTGAGTTCATTTCTGATTTTATACGTTTTGACATGAAAATGTATTTGTTTAGTCCGAGTCAAACATTCAACATTACCTGCAACTGACACACCTGTTCGGTTAGTATTTATAATTTTACACTTCTTCAACAGACTCATTTGTGTTTACTTCTTTTCACTGTTGGAGATATACTCCAACTACAATCACTCTTTCCTTGTTCTGTAGTGGTTGCTAATGAGTAAGGGTATCATTACATGTGAGAATTATGATGCCTGGCAGCAAACATTATTCCTGTAGGAAGAAGTAAGCCTTTTGCAACAAAACTGTCAAAAACTCCACTGCTAAAAATGTCATTTTCTGTTTAAATCACCCACTGACAAAGAAAGGAAATCTGTACCCTACCAGCTTCTTTAGGAGATTCTACTTCAGAGGTTATACAGAGCTCTCTATGCTTCGCCCCTGACTACATATCTAAGATGATAATAATTTGATGCTTCAACTAATGAAGCTGAAGCAGATGGGCATTTTTTTGTAACATTATTAGACAGGGTTCATACACCTTTTTCATGGTCAAATATAGTACTTTTCAAGGACTTCCAGACCAGTTTTCAAGCTTTTCCATTACCTTAACAAGTTGTGGGCCGATTTTCATAAAAAGGTATGTGTGATCATCGCCTATCACCTCCTTTTGTCACTGATCACTAAAACGGATCGACTCTATCTCTTACTTTGGAGCCTGTACAGGCTCTGCCTGCAAGGTCTCACACTCTTTCCTTCACTGTGCAGTGCAGCAGCAAATCCTAAGAGCTGTGATGTGGAACTTTTGTGCTTTGGGAAAAATGCATAGTTTGCATCTAGCTATGGAAAAATTCTTCTGAGGGGAAGCACATCAAAATGCATCATTGCACCGATTACAACGTGAGATTTAAAACTAGAAGCTGACAAAGTATGATGAACTATCAAGGCTACTGCAGGAAAAAAAGACTGTAGGTAAAGTGACACACAATTGCCTACACCATGAGCAGCAGTGGAAGACATTGGGTTCCACTGACTGCTCTCCCTATTTGATCACGCTACTGGGGTTTAAATATAGGCCTATTTCAGAGACATAGAGTCGTTCAACAGCACCAGACAGTGGAGTCTCACAGCAAACGTCTCCTAAAGCTGCAAGGTACTACAGATCAGTAATACAGCACACGGAGCTTCATATAACAGGGGTTCTTTATTTTTATTTCTGAGTTGCAAAAAATGAAAAGAATGAGGATCACAATATGGAGAAATGAATGACCCGTATTTTATCAGTAGGAAACCTTAGATTCAGTGAAATGGTGAGTGAACAATGCTGTTAGCACTCAATAGAGTAGCAACGCAGCTTCACTTAAAAGCTGAAATCTAACCACAACATATAACAAACAGCAGTGGCACCTCTAAAAGAGGATAAACAGAAAAAAGATTGAAGATAATTCAGTTCAAACATTAATTACCGAAAACCTCTATACTTCACTCATGTCGCCATAGAGTTGTCTATTATCTGCTGCTTGGAATAAACTAAAAAAGTACAATTACATTGAAATGATTCTACTTAAAAAGTTCTTCTATTTACTCCAAAACCCAATACACCAAATATAGGGTTAATGTGGGAATTCTAATTTTTTCAAAAAAAGATTGACTGCAGTTAAGCTGGAAAAGAGGAAGGAGGGTGTGCCGAATGTCCACAGCCAAACAAAGAATAACAAAAGCATACAATATAGGTGATCTT